ACACACACACACACACACACACACACACACACACACACACACACACACACACACACACACACACACACACACACACACACACACACACACACACACACACACACACACACACACACACACACACACAGTCAAAACGGATTCAGGGGACCTCGTCTCGTCTCGTCTCGTCTCGTCTCGTCTCGTCTCGTCTCGTCTCGTCTCGTCTCGTCTCGTCTCGTCTCGTCTCGTCTCGTCTCGTCTCGTCTCGGTCTCGTCTCGTCTCGTCTCGTCTCGTCTCGTCTCGTCTCGTCTCGTCTCGTCTCGTCTCGTCTCGTCTCGTCTCGTCTCGTCTCGTCTCGTCTCGTCTCGTCTCGTCTCGTCTCGTCTCGTCTCGTCTCGTCTCGTCTCGTCTCGTCTCGGTCTCGTCTCGTCTCGTCTCGTCTCGTCTCGTCCTGTCTCGTCTCGTCTCGTCTCGTCTCGTCTCGTCTCGTCTCGTCTCGTCTCGTCTCGTCTCGGTCTCGTCTCGTCTCGTCTCGTCCTCGTCTCGTCTCGTCTCGTCTCGTCTCGTCTCGGTCTCGTCTCGTCGTCGTCTCGCTCGTCTCGTCTCGTCTCGTCTCGTCTCGTCTCGTCTCGTCTCGTCTCGTCTCGTCTCGGTCTCTCGTCTCGTCTCGTCTCGTCTCGTCTCGGTCTCGTCTCGTCTCGTCTCGTCTCGTCTCGTCTCGTCTCGTCTCGTCTCGTCTCGTCTCGTCTCGTCTCGTCTCGTCTCGTCTCGTCTCGTCTCGTCTCGTCTCGTCTCGTCTCGTCTCGTCTCGTCTCGTCTCGTCTCGTCTCGTCTCGTCTCTCGTCTCGTCTCGTCTCGTCTCGTCTCGTCTCGTCTCGGTCTCGTCTCGTCGTCGTCTCGTCTCGTCTCGTCTCGTCTCGTCTCGTCTCGTCTCGTCTCGTCTTCGTCTCGTCTCGTCCTCGTCTCGTCTCGTCTCGTCCTCGTCTCGTCTCGTCTCGTCTCGTCTCGTCTCGTCTCGTCTCGTCTCGTCTCGTCTCGTCTCGTCTCGTCTCGTCTCGTCTCGTCTCGTCTCGTCTCGTCTCGTCTCGTCTCGTCTCGTCTCGTCTCGTCTCGTCTCGTCTCGTCTCGTCTCGTCTCGTCTCGTCGTCTCGTCTCGTCTCGTCTCGTCTCGTCTCGTCTCGTCTCGTCTCGTCTCGTCTCGTCCTCGTCTCGTCTCGTCTCGTCTCGTCTCGTCTCGTCTCGTCTCGTCTCGTCTCGTCTCGTCTCGTCTCGTCTCGTCTCGTCTCGTCTCGTCTCGTCTCGTCTCGTCTCGTCTCGTCTCGTCTCGTCTCGTCTCGTCTCGTCTCGTCTCGTCTCGTCTCGTCTCGTCTCGTCTCGTCTCGTCTCGTCTCGTCTCGTCTCGTCTCGTCTCGTCTCGTCTCGTCTCGTCTCGTCTCGTCTCGTCTCGTCTCGTCTCGTCTCGTCTCGTCTCGTCTCGTCTCGTCTCGTCTCGTCTCGTCTCGTCTCGTCTCGGTCTCGTCTCGTCTCGTCTCGTCTCGTCTCGTCTCGTCTCGTCTCGTCTCGGTCTCGTCTCGTCTCGTCTCGTCTCGTCTCGTCTCGTCTCGTCTCGTCTCGTCTCGTCTCGTCGTCTCGTCTCGTCTCGTCTCGTCTCGTCTCGTCTCGTCTCGTCTCGTCTCGTCTCGTCTCGTCTCGTCTCGTCTCGTCTCGTCTCGTCTCGTCTCGTCTCGTCTCGTCTCGTCTCGTCTCGTCTCGTCTCGTCTTCCGTCTCGTCTCGTCTCGTCTCGGTCTCGTCTCGTCCTCGTCTCGTCTCGTCTCGTCTCGTCTCGTCTCGTCTCGTCTCGTCTCGTCTCGTCTCGTCTCGTCTCGTCTCGTCTCGTCTCGTCTCGTCTCGTCTCGTCTCGTCTCGTCTCGTCTCGTCTCGTCTCGTCTCGTCTCGGTCTCGTCTCGTCTCGTCTCGTCTCGTCGTCTCGTCTCGTCTCGTCGTCTCGTCTCGTCTCGTCTCGTCTCGTCTCGTCTCGTCTCGTCTCGTCTCGTCTCGTCTCGTCTCGTCTCGTCTCGTCTCGTCTCGTCTCGTCTCGTCTCGTCTCGTCTCGTCTCGTCTCGTCTCGTCTCGTCTCGTCTCGTCTCGTCTCGTCTCGTCTCGTCTCGTCTCGTCTCGTCTCGTCTCGTCTCGTCTCGTCTCGTCTCGTCTCGTCTCGTCTCGTCTCGTCTCGTCTCGTCTCGTCTCGTCTCGTCTCGTCTCGTCTCGTCTCGTCTCGTCTCGTCTCGTCTCGTCTCGTCTCGTCTCGTCTCGTCTCGTCTCGTCTCGTCTCGTCTCGTCTCGTCTCGTCTCGTCTCGTCTCGTCTCGTCTCGTCTCGTCTCGTCTCGTCTCGTCTCGTCTCGTCTCGTCTCGTCTCGTCTCGTCTCGTCTCGTCTCGTCTCGTCTCGTCTCGTCTCGTCTCGTCTCGTCTCGTCTCGTCTCGTCTCGTCTCGTCTCGTCTCGTCTCGTCTCGTCTCGTCTCGTCTCGTCTCGTCTCGTCTCGTCTCGTCTCGTCTCGTCTCGTCTCGTCTCGTCTCGTCTCGTCTCGTCTCGTCTCGTCTCGTCTCGTCTCGTCTCGTCTCGTCTCGTCTCGTCTCGTCTCGTCTCGTCTCGTCTCGTCTCGTCTCGTCTCGTCTCGTCTCGTCTCGTCTCGTCTCGTCTCGTCTCGTCTCGTCTCGTCTCGTCTCGTCGTCGTCTCGTCCTCGTCTCGTCTCGTCTCGTCTCGTCTCGTCTCGTCTCGTCTCGTCTCGTCTCGTCTCGTCTCGGTCTCGTCTCGTCTCGTCTCGTCTCGTCTCGTCTCGTCTCGTCTCGTCTCGTCTCGTCTCGTCTCGTCTCGTCTCGTCTCGTCTCGTCTCGTCTCGTCTCGTCTCGTCTCGTCTCGGTCTCGTCTCGTCTCGTCTCGTCTCGTCCTCGTCTCGTCTCGTCTCGTCTCGTCTCGTCTCGTCTCGGTCTCGTCTCGTCTCGTCTCGTCGTCTCGTCTCGTCTCGGGGTCTCGTCGTCGTCTCGTCTCGTCTCGTCTCGTCTCGTCTCGTCTCGTCTCGTCTCGTCTCGTCTCGTCTCGGTCTCGTCTCGTCTCGTCTCGTCTCGTCTCGTCTCGTCTCGTCTCGTCTCGTCTCGTCTCGTCTCGTCTCGTCTCGTCTCGTCTCTCGTCTCGTCTCGTCTCGTCTCGTCTCGTCTCGTCTCGTCTCGTCTCGTCTCGTCTCGTCTCGTCTCGTCTCGTCTCGTCTCGTCTCGTCTCGTCTCGTCTCGTCTCGTCTCGTCTCGTCTCGTCTCGTCTCGTCTCGTCTCGTCTCGTCTCGTCTCGTCTCGTCTCGTCTCTCGTCTCGTCTCGTCTCGTCTCGTCTCGTCTCGTCTCGTCTCGTCTCGTCTCGTCTCGTCTCGTCTGTCTCGTCTCGTCTCGTCTCGTCCTCGTCTCGTCTCGTCTCGTCTCGTCTCGTCTCGTCTCGTCTCGTCTCGTCTCGTCTCGTCTCGTCTCGTCTCGTCTCGTCTCGTCTCGTCTCGTCTCGTCTCGTCTCGTCTCGTCTCGTCTCGTCTCGTCTCGTCTCGTCTCGTCCGTCGTCTCGGTCTCGTCTCGTCTCGTCGTCTCGTCTCGTCTCGTCTCGTCTCGTCTCGTCTCGTCTCGTCTCGTCTCGTCTCGTCTCGTCTCGTCGTCGTCTCGTCTCGTCTCGTCTCGTCTCGTCTCGTCTCGTCGGCTCGTCTCGTCTCGTCTCGTCTCGTCTCGTCTCGTCTCGTCTCGTCTCGTCTCGTCTCGTCTCGTCTCGTCTCGTCTCGTCTCGTCTCGTCTCGTCTCGTCTCGTCTCGTCTCGTCTCGTCTCGTCTCGTCTCGTCTGCGTCTCGTCTCGTCTCGTCTCGTCTCGTCTCGTCTCGTCTCGTCTCGTCTCGTCTCGTCTCGTCTCGTCTCGTCTCGTCTCGTCTCGTCTCTTCTCGTCTCTTCTCGTCTCTTCTCGTCTCTTCTCGTCTCTTCTCGTCTCTTCTCGTCTCTTCTCGTCTCTTCTCGTCTCTTCTCGTCTCTTCTCGTCTCGTCTCTTCTCGTCTCTGTCTCGCGTCTCGTCTCGTCTCGTCTCGTCTCGTCTCGTCTCGTCTCGTCTCGTCGTCGTCTCGTCTCGTCTCGTCTCGTCTCGTCTCGTCTCGTCTCGTCTCGTCTCGTCTCGTCTCGTCTCGTCTCGTCTCGTCTCGTCTCGTCTCGTCTCGTCTCGTCTCGTCTCGTCTCGTCTCGTCTCGTCTCGTCTCGTCTCGTCTCGTCTCGTCTCGTCTCGTCTCGTCTCGTCTCGTCTCGTCTCGTCTCGTCTCGTCTCGTCTCGTCTCGTCTCGTCTCGTCTCGTCTCGTCTCGTCTCGTCTCGTCTCGTCTCGTCTCGTCTCGTCTCGTCTCGTCTCGTCTCGTCTCGTCTCGTCTCGTCTCGTCTCGTCTCGTCTCGTCTCGTCTCGTCTCGTCTCGTCTCGTCTCGTCTCGTCTCGTCGTCTCGTCTCGTCTCGTCTCGTCTCGTCTCGTCTCGTCTCGTCTCGTCTCGTCTCGTCTCGTCTCGTCTCGTCTCGTCTCGTCTCGTTTCGTCTAGCAGTTAATACAAAGCCATTCACTATGAAATTAGTCTGTGAGACCTCTGTGTAACTCCGCATGAGGCGAGGCAATTCTCATCGTGACACGTCGTCCTCAGTCCTCAGTGTGATACCGATACCGTCTCAGCGATGCATGCGGTAACTGATACATTACGATGAAATATTAGCCGGTGTAGCGCTGCACGCGGCGAGGCAAATCTCATCTTGAATGGTCTGTTTTAATATAGGGCAGCATTCAAACTTTTAAAAATTCATAATAATTTTTAAATATTATCGTTGTCTGTAGTAAGCACACTGACATGAGATCATTTATATAAAAGTGCTAACTTCCCTACTCGACCATTTATTGTTGAGTTCTAATTAACACTACTGTTACTAAAGTGGCGCTGGCAAGCAGTGACAAATAAAGAAAATCAAAAAATTAGACAGACTGGAAAAAACATGAAATATGCTTTGGAAAATGTTTATTGTTAACATCAGACTTAAGATGTTTTTAAAAGGAGACCTAATATTTGCTTTTATAATAATTAGAAGAGAAGTTAAAAATTGATTTTTAAATAATTGTGAATGTTGGGTGGCTGACCTTGCAAAAGACAACAGGTTACTTTAAATCTCTGTAAAAGAAGAAATTAAAATGTCAATTGTCAAATCTATCAAAAATAAAATGGCGTATTCTTGTTGTTGGCATTTGTTGGTGGCGTGTTTATAACTTTGAGTAAAGCGCCAAACAGTTTTATCCTGTTTTGCAAAAAGACTACTAATTTTTTTTGGTATAATAATCCATTTTCCACCAGTTGACACACAGGATTCCAATTATTGGTGTACTAAACCCAATTTTGATGTAAATGTATGACTTTATTTATAGGTTAAGTGAGGTATTTAGACGTATTTTCAAACTTTTTTACGTTTTAGGAACAATACCACAATGATGCCAATAGGGGGGGCACCTCCTGTGCACGGTTCTAATACTTTACCCCAAAACAACAGCACACAAAATGCCAGTTTAACTCCTACAGGTGGATCTAGCAAGTCTAGTAGTAGCCTTGTAAGTATTTGCCAAATGTGTTTTAATGTACTTGATTTTTAAGGTTCTTTTGTTTCAGAAACCAAACTATACTCTTAAATTTACGTTAGCCGGGCACACAAAAGCTGTTTCATCTGTTAAATTTAGTCCTAATGGTGAATGGCTTGCTAGTTCTTGTAAGTACACTAACTACTAAGTAAACAAGTCTTTGAGAACTTTCACTTGATAATGGTTGATATTGTTTATAATTATTGCTTGTTCCAGCTGCTGATAAACTTATAAAAATATGGGGTGCTTATGATGGGAAATTTGAGAAAACAATATCAGGACATAAATTAGGAATTAGTGATGTAGCATGGTCGAGTGATAGCAGGCTTTTAGGTAAATTAAATATTTAATTTACATTTTTTTGGCTTTGTTATAATCATTACTTTTTAGTTTCTGCTAGTGATGACAAAACTCTAAAAATATGGGAACTATCCTCAGGAAAATGTCTTAAAACCCTTAAAGGCCACAGCAATTACGTTTTTTGTTGTAACTTCAACCCTCAATCAAACCTTATTGTTTCTGGTTCTTTTGATGAATCTGTCAGAATATGGGATGTAAGGACAGGGAAGTGTTTAAAAACCCTACCAGCTCACTCAGATCCAGTTAGTGCAGTACACTTTAACAGGGATGGATCGTTAATTGTTAGCAGTAGTTATGATGGGCTTTGGTAAGTGGTTTGGTAGATTGTCTGAAAAACTTAGCTGTTTGATTAATATTGATTTTAGCCGAATATGGGACACAGCATCTGGGCAATGCTTAAAAACCCTGATAGATGATGACAATCCTCCTGTATCTTTTGTAAAATTCTCACCAAATGGCAAATACATCCTGGCTGCTACCTTAGACAACACCCTTAAATTGTGGGATTATGCAAAAGGTAAATGCTTGAAAACCTACTCAGGACACAAGAATGAAAAGTACTGTATTTTTGCCAATTTTTCTGTTACTGGTGGAAAATGGATAGTGAGTGGGTCAGAGGATAATATGGTGTACATTTGGAATTTGCAAACTAAAGAAATTGTTCAAAAGTTGCAAGGACACACAGGTTTGTTTTATTTTATGGATGATTTTTCTTAAAATTACTTTTTAAATACCACAATTCATTAATATCAAAAATTACCATTGAATCTGTTATTAGATATTCATTAATAATAATAAATCGATGGCGTAGAGTGAAAACCTCGTATCTCAAATTTTTTTGAAAATATTTTTATTTAATTTAAATGAATACCTCATAAGCCATTTAAGAAATAAATCTAGCAGCTCTGTCTTGAAAGAGACTACTTCCAGCAACGTATATGTAAACCACCTATCCATTACATTGTATGTGATGTAAGAGCCGTTTTATCTGTCTTCTGTAAAATTTGCTATTTTAGACATAGGAGGGTTTCACTCTATGCCATCTATATATTTATCGCAAGATAAAGTTACATAGAGACAAAATAGATAAAATTTTGAACTCAAATAATAAGACAATCCTTTTATGGTTCTATGGTTAAGACCCATTATAATAATTCATGTAATTACAAATATAATACAAAGTAGAAAATAATAAAAGCAAAATGAAAAAAAAAATATTTATATTATCTAAAAAATTAATTAGAAAGACAAAACACACATTTGGTGAGAGTATAGGTTCATCTTTGATTTAATTATAACTTTTATTTTTTTAACTTGAATTTAAAAATCTCAATTCTAAAGGAGGCACACCTTAGATTTAAATATCATTGATATCCTAGTGACTACTTGGTATTCTGTAACTTGTGCTCTCAATGTAAACTTAACAGGATAACACTGATGACATTAGATTTACTGATATCAAAACATTCTGGAATTTTGTCAATTCAAAAAGAAAAAGTAATTAGTTGCCCAATGAAATGTACTGTAACAACACTAGAAGCTCTATTGGTACAGATTTATCTAATTTGTTCCAGGATTACTTTAGCTCAGTCTATAGCGATCAAGCATGCCATAATTATGATCAACCATATTCAACCCACTTAAATGCTGTAGATCATCAGATATATATATATATATTTCAAAAATATTTTTATATGAGCAAGGTTTCAGGTCCTGATGGCTTGCCACCTTCCTTATTAAGATCTTGTAGTTTCGTTAAATTCCGTTTCCTATATATCTTGTTTCACCTCAAAATGAAATGTATCCTAATTATTGAAAATCAAGTTTTATTGTACCAATTTACAAATCAAGTGACAAATCAAATATAATTTCAGGCCGATATGCATTCAAATTGTGATTCCTAAACTCTTTGAGAGTATTATTACAAAATATTTATTGGAGCTGCTTGATCCCTTCATCTTAGATCAGAAGTTCGGTTTCTACTCCAAAAAGTCCACTGAACTTAACCTCTTGATGTAGGTTGATTCTAATTATCAAGTTCATGCTATAAACTGATTTTTCAAAAGCATTCGACAGGGTTAACCAAGTTGCTTGATTGGAAAGCTTGATAACATTGGCATTGGTGGTAATCTTCTGAAATGGATCGAATGCTTTATAACGAACTACATTCAAATTGTTTGTGTTTCTGATTTCTTCAATGGTTACATTTCCCCTACTTTTTAACATATATAACAATAACATTCGAAAATTGTTTTGAGAACTCTCATTTGCTTTGCTCATGATTTAAAATTATTCATGGGTGTGAATTCCCTACATGATTTGCCTTCAAAAAGACTTGGATAACTTGGTCCAATGGTGTAGTACTAATGGAATGAAATGAAATACAAGTAAATGCCACGTAATCAATTTTAACAAAAAACTAACCTATTGAATATCTATTAAATCCCTTCCCTAAGCATTAAGAATGTTGAGTTTCCATAGAAGAAATACTTCTAATTTTCAGAATGTAACGTATTAAAAGATTCTTTATTGTTCCTTAGTTATACCTTATATTGAATATGTCTCCACTATATGGAATCTCTTTTATGTATATCTAATCCATAATATAGGAGAGGTTCAAAGACATTTTTTACATATTGTTGAATTTAAATCTGGTATCGCCCCTGTCAATTTCAGATACAATTATGACAAATTACATATTCTTTGTTTTTTGAGACTCTTTAGAGTAAAAGAAACCGAAAGGAGCTTTTTTGTAATGTCCTTTTTATCAAAAATTAAATAAATATACTTGTTCTATAATAGTGCTTTTTTCTTAAGATTTTCAGTAGTTTCTCTTCTTTAAGATTAGGTGTTGCGGTCTTCATGCTTTTGGCCCACCAGTGACTTTGAGTTAGCAATGTATTGAAGTTCATATGCATTTTTTGCTGATGTTCCAAAAGTTGTGTCATCTGCATATATAATTTTGGTATTTTGAGTTGTACAAGATAGAGCTAAGTCATTAATAAAAATTAAGAATAAAACAGGGCCCAATATTGAGCCCTGCGGTACTCCCACTGTCACATTTCGTCTATTTGATTTGCTGCAATGGTTACAACTTGATTACAGATATTTAAATATGACTGTATCCACTTATTAGGCGAGCCCCTTATTCCTATTCGGTAGGAGATACATAAAAAGTATCAGGTGTTTAATAGTAGATTTATTTTAGGAACATGATATTTGATGTAATTAATAAATTAGCAGTCTTTAAATTTAACATTATTAATAATATAAAAGATGAAAATATATAATCTTGGTATAATGTAAGTGTAATCTTTATTCACTCTGGGTACGTAAACATTATTTGCTATATTTGATCTTGACAAATAATTGTGATCAATTATTTGAAAATATTATGATTTATTCCAAAGGTCGGGCATGTTTTAACAAATTATCTTATATCCAAGATTTGCATATCCAGAAACCCTTGTGGTTTAAAGGACATTACTATTATTTTTTTATACGGATTACAACATTTAAATAACTCCAACAAATTCTTTTTTTACAGATGTTGTCTTGTGCACCACCTGCCACCCAACCGAAAACATTATCGCGTCAGCGGCCCTCGAAAATGACAAGACTATAAAATTGTGGAAGAGCGATACTTAAAACCAGTCGATTTTTTATTACTTTTTATATTTAAGTTACGGTAATATGAAATTGAGTATTTTTTTAGAATAAGTATGCTAAAAAGTCAGTGTACTAAAATCGGATGAATAATTATTTATCAAACAACATTGTGTCCAGTATCTTCGCGATACATCTTGTGATATTTTTAGATCACCCCTGTAAAATGCATCATGATTTTTAAGGTAAAAACAAATTATTAATAAATTTGAAAATTCAAATGCTTCTTTTATTTACCTTTTTGTATGTATGTGTTCCATTGTTTTTATTATAGTAAAAAATATATGTACAACACATGACTTTCCTGTCTAGTTATTACAGGCTTTTTCCGATTATTTTATACAACCTATTGTATCACCCCTGTAAATGTTTATAGGAGGAACTAAATACATACATTTTCCACACACATCTTTCTTCGGAACATTTTTTATATACATTGCCTATGAAAATACTAAAAAATTTAAATTTTACACTTTTCCTCAAATTTTTTCATTACGGTCTGTTTTAGAGAAATCCTGTATAGAACAGAAACTATAGAGAATTATATAGCAAACAACTTTTATTTGAAAAATTTTCTTAAAAATTTTAATTTTAGATTGTTAAATTTCTCGAATACGGATCATTTTAGAGAAATATTGGACAAGAATTATAGAGAATAACAACTTTAATGTGAACAATTTTTCTAAAAATTGATTTGTTTTTTACTTTTTGTTAAATTTCTCGAATACGGGCTATTTTAGGAAAATGTATGGGACAATATTACAAACAACTTTTGTTTGAAGAATTTTGTTCTCCAAGCGTAAATAACATATATTCCATAAAATAGAAAAACGACACCCTATAAAGTACCCCCAGATGTTCCAAATATGCCCAAAATTTTATTAGTTCTCCGCAGGATGGATTAAAGCTAAAGTTTAAAATTTGGTGTTTTTCTCGTTGTTCGTTTTTGAGTTATCAAGTATACAGACATCATCGCGAAAATAGTCAAAACGGATTCAGGGGACCCAAAACGTAACAATCGTCTAAAAAAAATTATTCCTATAGGTATTTATCTGTATACTGACAGGAAAGTAAAGAGGAGATCAAAGTAAAAATACCTATCAATTGTCAATAACAAAAAAATAAATAAAAGGCGTCGAATGGTTCTTTTTTTCGCTGTTGGTGCAGTGTCCACCAGTGTAAATTACACCAGTTACGCCACCTTATTTACCCTAATTTACTTTCTCCTTATTCCTTGTACACATGTCGAGTGTAATTTAATCCTGCTAAATAGTTGGTGGAGAAAATATCCATCAGGGAACACCACATCGCCAACAGAAAGGTATAGTGGGTTTTACACCGGGACAAACGAAAGGTTTAGTGTCTGTTGGTGTAGTTCATTCCTACACCAGTGGGACGAACGAAAGAACCTAAAGATTCAAGTTCTAATTGTTTTTAAAATTCCAAACCGAAGCCTTTAGCAATTCTTGAAAAGTTTTTAAAGTATTAAAATAGGCTCTGTAATAATTTAGATCCTTTCCTACGTAGGTATGCAATTATCAGAGGCCTGTCGAGTATTGTGTGTTGTCTATCTACTAATAAAATTAGGAATAACTCGAAAATCAGTTAATTTATCAATATACATTTTTTTAAAATGCATTAAGGCTATTCAAAGATTTTTTCTTAAATCTACAATGAAAAAAATTGGTTCTACAACGTTGCCGGATCATACATGTAAACCTAATTTCTATGTCGGGCTTCGTAAAAATATTTTAAAATCAAATAATTTCAATTGCTTTTGGACATAAAACATTTGCTTTTGTGATTATTTTATCGTTTTAAATAGTCTGTTTTTTTTTTCTTTCTTAAATCTATGTTCTGTTTTGTAATTTTTATATTATAATTTTTTATATTGTATTTTGCTGATATATGTGTTTTGTCATATTTTAGGTACCTGTTCTTTAATTGGGAATTTCCTGTAGAACAGTTTATAAAATAAATAAATAAAATATTACGATTGTTTATACTTTATTGATCTCACATGTATGTAAAAAATCTACTTCATCTATACCTTTTAGAACAAAAAAATAATTATAATTAAAAAAAAGGTACCTATTTATTGAAATTTTCGGAGGAAATTTATATAATAACGGCAACAACGCAGGGTATACTAGAAATGTCAGAAGTAATGAAGTAAACGTCAAATGGCTTAAGAAAGGTACAAACAAGTTTTGTTGTGTTATTTTATTTTGTTAATTATTTTTGTGTGTTTGTGTGATTGCGAACTTAAGCCGTTAAAGCATATTTTATCTTATCTTTTTGATAACTCTATCCTAGTTCCTCGATAGATTGAAAAATGAGCTAGTTCCTTATTTCTCTTTTGTCTACTATGGAAGGCTCAATTATACCCCAAATAAACGATTTCAAGAGCGTTGTAGATTTCGACGATTTCGTAGATTTTCTCTACTCGGGTAAATTTATCAACGAACAAAATTACTACGAAGTTTATTCAAGAGTAAGTTGAGATTTGAATTTTTGTTTGGGGTTATGTTGAAAAATCTTTTGTTTCAGAGAGAAAATGACAGAATTGCAGCATTGTTTAGTATCATTCATTCCAAAGAAAATTTGGAGGATATTTTAAAATATCTAAAACATACTTATCCGAACCATGAAAAAGAGGTAAGGGAACAAAGGGATTTTCGAATATCTTCAGTAAGAGGCGATTTTCCAGAGCTGCCCCCGAACTACGTTTCTAGAACGAGTTTGGTAAGTGAAAATCTTTATTTATTTTTCCAATCAGTTTTTTAAAAAATTAACTTAAAATATCTAAAGTTGCGGATTTGAATGGCAATTTTAAAAATAGACTGAAGTGGTTACCTGTTACCTAGGTTGATTTGTGGTTTGGGTAAATATTTACTGGTTTAATCACAAAAGTAGATATTCAAATTACCTTATTTAGTTCTAGATGTATTACCTATAAAACTATTTTTTTATCTTTGTCTACAATGAGGTTTAACCAATATATTTTATCTCTATTATGAATAAAATTTTAGTATTTAGTGTTAATAACAAGTTTTATCAAGTTTTATTTATTTCTATACCTGTATACGGACATACATTAACTGTGGATAGAGGCCACAGAGGTGATTCTAAATAACCCCCCTTTCCTTTGGATACCTGTTGCATTATTAATCATGGAGTAGTTGTTTTCTGAAGGGAAACGGTCACTAGTGTGACATAGCTTTGTTTTATTTATTTTATTTTTAACTCCTGTTGATATACAGGATGTTTCATCAATTTTTCCACTTCTTTCCTTATTCAATTTGGGGTCAATCATGTAATTTTAATATATCAATGTATAAAAAATGGAAAATTCAGGTCTGGCTTTGCTAAAAATTCACAAATTGTTCCACCCTGAAAACAACACCCCTTATATCTGATTTTTTATAATTTGTTTACATAGTTGAAAAGAGCACAAAAACTGAATTCAACGATAATATTTTTATTTGATTATCGATTATCCTGTATAAAATAGTAGATTAAATAATCTTAATTTAACGTAAATTTAAATAAAAACTCGTCCTAATCCATTTTGTACCCCAAAAATTTCCAGAAATAATAATTTGAATTTAAAATTTGGGTAGTAAAATCATCTGCCCCCAAATAAAAATATTGTTAAATTCAGTTTTTTTGTGGTCTTTTCAAATAGTGGAACAAATTATAAGAAATCAGATATACAGGGTGTTGTTTTCGGGGTGGAAGAGTGTAAATTTTTAGCTAAGCCAGACCTGGATTTTCCTAATTTTTTTTACACTTATATTAAACAAAATATGACTGATAGGTGTACTAAGTGTACTACTAAGCGCACCCTGTATCTAAAAGCTCCTCGATGGCCTCCATCCACAGTTAATGTACAAGGATAAGCTGAAATGTTCTCAGCCTGACAATGAAAGTCTGTGATTTTAAGTTAAAAAATGATTTTATTTTTCTTTGGTGCTAAGCAACTGCTTTACACCCACTGCTTGGATGCTGTTTCATTTTTGGCATGTAGTAGTGGACAAAATCAGTCGTATCCCTATTGAATCGGTCCAAACATTACTTCGAAAATCTTTTATACACATTTGCTTTTGATCAGCATTCAGAAAATACGACACCCATCTTGCGCAAAGCTTTCGCATCCCTAACTCTTTGTGCAAGATGTTTCGCACCTTTTCTTCCGATATCCCCACAGTCTCGGCTTTCTCACTCACCTCCTCTCGCCTATGATCCAACACAATGTCATGCACTTTTGCGATTGTTTCTGGTGTGGTGGCGGTTTTGGGCCGTCCTCCAGTTGTATCATCTTCAACCACATTTTAATAGTTGACGTGGAAAGAGCAGAGCCCAGAGTCCCTGTAAACGTTTGTCGACTTGGGATGAATTTCCTTAGAAGTTAATCCTTCCAAATAGAAGAATTTTATGACCGCCTGATATTCAGGTTTATCCATTTTAACGAAAAACATATATGTCTGCTGCGAAAATTCGTGTAAACTAATGACATGTGCACCCAGACAGGAAACAAACTTTTGCTGATTGGAACGCCATCTCTGTCAGACAGAGAACTTATCACCTCACCCTCGTATGTCAGTTGCCCAATAAATCAATCTGTATAAATATGTTGATAAGTCAATTTTGGCCATTTAAAACATTAGGTAATTATAGACAGTTAAAAAATTGAAATTTATTTGACACAACAGGTATTGCAAATAAAGTATGAATAATATACAGGTTTTCTTAGAATATGAGGGTTGCCTCCCAGATTCAGATAGAACACATAAAAATAACTTGTCAAGTTTCTATACATTTTCCTATGCCGCCAAATAAATAGTCTAAAACTAGGATTACAATAAGATATTGCAAATTTCAATGGAAAAGTTTCTATTTCGATTGTAAGAATTTGTTTCGGTCAGACACAAATTTAGTACAATTTCGTAATTTTTAAATATGATGGATCTCCTTAAAATAGATGTTGCACTTATTTTTTATGTTGCTAAAATTCCTTCTCTATTGATATGGTTTGTTGACACTTATGTTGGGAATGGGGTGTTAATGTGACCTAAAAGATCTATTATACCACCTTCTGCCGCTAATGCAGCAAGGAAATATCTCGATGCCTATAATGACCCCTTCCAATCTTATCTTCTCAAGGAAGTGTAGGATTTGGAGTGGCTTCAAGTTAGGCAAATCTCCCTCTTCTATTTGATATGCTCTTAGGTATAGATCCCTTGGATTCTGGAGTGCTACAAATTCAGTCAGAATGGAGTTTTCCTCTTCCTCACAGAATATGCACTCACTGTCTTCTACTACTCTCAATTTACTCTCTTCTAATATTGTTTTACTGCTGATACAATGTTGACATTTACCTACTAGTTATTAAATTTCACTAAATACTTTACAAATTATAAAAAACAATTTCCAGGGGCGTCCATTATGGGTCGTATCCTAATAGAAGGTCCCATAGGAAAATAATTATAGGATCTTGATATGTTATTTTTATGTATTCTATCTAAATCTGGTAGATATTCTGGTACACACTGTATTTTAAAGGTGTGAAACATTTACAACAACAACAAAAAGATAATTCCGATAATTATGTTTTACAAACTGACAGGTACTCTATCTAATTATGGAGCGAACGACAAAAATTTTTTTGGAGTAGGGCTTGAAAAAATGTACTCAGATCAGATCATACAATTCTTCTTTTTAAATGTCAGTTTGGATTTAATTCAGAGCCTTGTGCAGCTATTATGGACTATTTTGTCAATCATTTAATAACATTTTTGTGGATCACTTTTTATTAATAAACTAGTAATATTTACTGTTTAATAAAACGAAACGTCTATAAAATTACAAATATTGTTTTGTCACAAACAAATAATTTAATTTTTTCTGACAACACATCGCATCATAGTGTCTTACAAGTTATATATCTACTTACTTTTTAATATTATTCTTATGTTCATATCTTGGGAGACTTGCCATTTAGGAGAACATTTTTGAGCACTATATTGATAGTGCTGGTTAGACCCAGTGATTGAAAACTACTAGACTAATCCATTCATTCATAATTAAGCCCTTCTTCATTGCAGCTGTCACATTGGCTGCCGCATTAGAAAGAGTGAGACGGCTGGTAAATTGATTGGTGATGGTTTGTGAGAGTTTGTTTATCGGAGCCACTAGCACTCGTTTTGTGAATGAACCAGGTCGTACTACTGTGATTCCCATGTTACACCATTGCACCACACTGTACTTTCCTCTAAATTACCTTCAGCTACAATAATAGTTGCAGCCAGAAAAAGAGATTAAACAGAGAATATCTGGCACCAAGAATGTTTTAAATATATTTCCTTAATGTAATTTTTACAGCATTTTATGCATTTTAGAGACTTTTTCTACGTCAATTCCTAATTATAACCATAAACAATTCTTGTAACAAGACTCTCCTGTAATAATTTGGCAACTATGTGGCTAACACCGCGAATGGTAGCAATTCTGTTTTTGTAAACAAAATTAGTCTAGTAGTTTTTCGTCATTGTTTAGACCTTAAATAAAGCAATTCTCTTTAGAATATGATTAGTTTTTCAACAAAGCTAGATGGAAACTGTGTATTAATTCTATTTTATCTATAAAACTAGTTAGGTATATAGGTGTTTCCTTACCCAAAAATAAGATAATTAGTTCCTATCAACATGGGCCCGCAGATGCTTTGTTTCGAAGACACAGATTTTCTTTGGTGTTTCAAAATATTTGCCAAACGAAAATATGTGCTTTTTTAGGTAAACATTTAATCCAGTCGTTAAAGCTGTTACGAAAATATTTTGAAAAACCGGCAAAAAAAATTATAACACAATGGGGTATATTCTGTAACAATTCCTTTATATTTAACGGCCTTTAAAAATATTGGCGGCCTTTAAAAATATGTTCGTATTCGTTAATTTACTTCTGTCATTATTTAAACAGATTTCTTTAAGATAGTCCTCTAATGTATTTTAAAGATCTGTTTAAATAATGACAGAAGTAAAGAAGAAAATATTTTTAAAGGCCGTTAAATATAAAGGAATTGTTACAGAATAGACCCCTATATATTTTTAAAACAAAGCATCCACGTTGATATGAACTATTTGTCTTATTTATCGTTAAAAATTATCCCACGAACATGTGCCATTATGTTTGTTGAAATACCTTGTATAAAAAAACTGGTTTTATCAGTCGCCAGTTAACCTTTTTTAAAGTAATTTAGTAGGTTTTAGCATATCAGCAATAAACATTTCAAACCACAAATGTGTTAGGAATTTGGTTAACCATATTCTCCATTTTTAAGGCCGGTCCTGTAAGGTTACCTGTTTCTAGACTAAGGATGAGTCACTATTGAACCATTTCGCTTGAGATAGAAAGTAAATAGTAGTATTACTCATACTTATAATGGACCAGGTGTTTCGGAAATTAAAATATGCAGTTCAATGACAGAGAAGAATGGATATTAAAACATTTTTCTAGTTTTTCTGTATTAATAGTTGACATTTATCGGTATATTGTTTCAGGATTTATCTAAATAAAATAAAATTTATTTAGCTATAAGAGTGAATTATTTAGTTACTCAAATCACGAAATAGTCAAATACCTAAATAGGAATTCAGTATTTTGCTTTACATAAAAACCAGTTTTTATAATTAGCAAGTTACTGTGAAAAAAAGCGGTGTTTTATCAATTTAAATTATTTTACTGAA